ATATTTTAGTCTTTAAAAATGTAGGTGGTAATGATTTTATTTTACTTTGATGTGACATTTAATGATGGTGAAGCAGCTGATACTTGTTATTGTACAATTATAGTAACATTTTACATTTTCTTTTAATATAAGTGTGCAAAAAAATAAAGAATCATATTTTTTTTTTCTACTTTGCCATATCAAACTATGATGCTACTATTAGGCACTGTCTTTCACTTCTGTATTCTACTAACATTAGAACTAGTACAGAAGAATGTATTTTTGTACCAGTTATTAGCATAGGTTTCGGCTGTGACAGCAAGTGTAGGAAAGCTAGTCGTGTGAGGTGTAAATTATAAACTGTTCATGGTGACATCTGTAGGAAAGATATGAATGAAAACAGATAATTTTACAATACAACATATGTAAGTAGCATTTTGATATTACATAAAATGATTGAGTATAAACATACTGTGATTTTATTACCCATGGTTGTGCAGTACCACACACTGCAAAAAAAAAAGGAGGAACCATAGTTTATAGGTACTTGATCCTGTTCAATGGGTAGCTTTTATTTAGTTTATGTTGGGTTTGATATTCATTTATTTTGGTTCTTGTTTTTAATGAATCAGACACCCCATCCACATGAGGTTCCCCCTAATTTTCATCTTGGTCTGCAGGATTCTTGGGGCTGTGGCAATGGAAGTGACAATCTATACTCCTCTTTTTCTCCTCCTTTTTGTTTTTGTTTTGTTTTTTATTTTTTGTTTTTGTTTTTGTTTTCTTCTTTTCCTAATTCTACTTCTTTCTCCTTTTTCTTTTCCTTTCTAATTTTGTCTTTTGTCTTTTTCTCTTCCTTCTTCTTCTTTCCCTTGTTTTTTGAGGCAAAGATCAGACAGTTGATTAATCCAGTTGCCCCATATGGCAAGAATACATGCCATGCCCAATGTAATACAAGTTTATTTATTGTAATTACACATAAATGGCTCTATAAGTGCTAAGTCACCAAGGAGTTGGTTATTAGTCCTATGTATCTCACCTGTATACCCTTCTACTTGACTTTTGGAAAGGGTCTTTTCGCATTATTTCATTGTCTTAAATGTTATCAAGATTTTAATAACAATTTAATAATCATAACAACAATAACAGTATCAATGTCAACTGTATTAAAAAGAAAAACATTTTTCCACCAATTCAAGGAATGGGGAAATCAGGATCAGTCACTAAGGCTACTGATAGACTCCTTGCCAGCTGAGCACATGTGGAGCCATCTGTATGTAACAACATTCATAAAAAAATACAGGGGACAGAACATAAAATCTGGGGCAAATGGATTAATGATAATTGGTTATGGAAGCAATGAGTGTGTCACATCTATGGTAAATGTTTTTGGTAATGTAAGTTGGGTGTGCTATACTCATGGTTAGTGTTTGTGGTAATAATCTCCAGGTGTGATGTACTCATGGTTATGGTATATGGGGGTATTAGCATTTATATTACATGTACCTAGAATGAATACATTTCTCTTTCAAATAATTATTGAAAAGTGGCTCAACGGAAGAGAAGCATTCCTGAACAAGATGTGGAAGAAATTTTGTTTGGTGAAGACTCCAATGATGAGGATCATCTTGAGTATGAGGATTTTTATGATAGTGTGGTTAAGAAAAGACACACACAAAGTAAAAATTACTAATAAATGGCAATTTTTAACCCAAATCCAACTTATATGGCTTGTATGTACATGCCATGCCCACTGGGAGTTTACTTCATTAACTGTTTTTATACATAGATGGTTACAATTGTACTAAGTCACCAGTGAACCAATTAGAGTATTGCCCATCTCGCCTGTTTACCCTTTTCCATGAGTTTTGAAAATATTTTACATTATCTTATACTGCTGTTACTAATGTCTATAACATTACAGTAATTATTATGGCTATAATAAAAATAACACCATTGATATTCATAGCATTAGGAAAAAAATAAATTTTTCTTGCCAATTCAAGGAAAGGTGAAATCAGGTAAGGTCACAAGGTCTACTAATTGACCTCTTTGCGGCTAAGCACTAGCAGAGCCATCTATCTGCAGAGATATTTCACACACAAAACAAAACAAAAAAAAAAGAGAGAGAGAGAGAGAGAGAGAGAGAGAGAGAGAGAGAGAGAGAGAGAGAGAGAGAGAGAGAGAGAGAGAGAGAGAGAGAGAGAGAGAGAGAGAGAGAGAGAGAGAGAGCGAGCATAGCATAGCATTTTCTTGGCAACATTGAGTAGGTAATGCTGCTGAACCCGATATCTACAGATTTATGTTCTGTCCCTTGTAGTTTTTTTGTGAAACAGATGCCTCCACATGTACTTAGCCACAAGGAGTCTATCCAATAGGACCTAGTAAATGCACCTGATTTCTCCATTCCTTGAATTTGCAAGAAAATGTGTTTTTCTTTCTAGTACTGTTAAAAATGACACTGATATTATTATTAAATTGCCATAAAAATGTTAATAACATTAAAGACCATAAAATAATACAAATGAAGCTTTCCAAAAATCAAGGATAGGTAGGGCTAATAACTACTCTTGTAGAGCCATTTATGTATAAAGACAATATAATATATTGGGCATTGCATGTATTATTGCCATGCAATTGGATTAAAAGTAGATGACTGTTTAACGATGTAGACAAATGCCAAGAAGTTGCAACTTAATTTAATGACATATTTTTCATGCAGCAGTATGAGATTTAGGTTTTGTCACTATTTATTTATTTACTGAAAAATTTCTTCCATATCAACATCTATCACAAGTGCCGTGTTCAAAATATAGCAATAACGTGAGGTCTGGGGGAAAATCCTCAGGTAAAGAATTTCTATACGACATAAAATATAGCATTACAGTAAAGTATAGTAGCAAAAAGGAATCGGAATGCATTAATGATTAGGGTAAAGTTATGGTTTAACGGTACTTGAGGGTAATACAGTAGTGAAAAAGGTAGAGAGGGGGAGCTGATGGGTATGGTATCATCTGTTAGTAAAATATCAGTTATCATTTTATTGCCAATGAAAAAATATTAATAGTTAAAAGTGTATTAACCTACCTATATTAAAGATTGTTATAGCCTGTAATCAAAAAGTAACCTCAAGTAAACTTTTCCCCTAAGAGAAAATGCGAGTTATGCAGCCTCTAGATTCTGTCATCCCCCCCCCCCCCCCCCCAGCTGTACCCTGCTTTTTACTTTACATTAGTTGTGAATAGGCAGATACTTTTACACACTACTCTGGGAGCTCAGCATGTTCCAGTAGTAGTTTTGAAATCCATTCTGGTGGTTGTTTTGTTTAACTGGTCACAACTCATTTTATGTTTTGTTAAATGAAACACAACACTCAAATCGCTTTTCATTTTATTGTTAAAATTTTTATAAATACTCTGCTTTTTTTTCTTTTTGCTTCCTTTCTACATCCAATCTGGTGATAACACTGAAAATAATATCTGTAAACTGCTTTATTCAATATACCAACACAACATGAACTGCATTTTTCCATAGATCCTTACCCTATTTTTGCATCACAAACGCACACACATACACACACACACTACCAACTTCATAATTCTTAAATACTATATCAGACAATTTTTACATGATTCATAAAATCCTCTGGTATAGTTAGAAGCATTACATATAATATATTTGTACAGTAAATTTTCTTTTCTCACACACCTTTCACCAATAACGTATACACATGTGACATACAAATACATATAAATGAAAATACAAAAATCTCTACAAATAATACAAATTTTCATTCTTTATACACATACAGACAAACACTTGAGAAAAGTTCTAGTAAAGTTTACCTTCCCAATGGAATCACTGTTTTGCATAATGCTGTCTCGTAATGGCAGATGGCTTGTCAGTTGCTGCAAGACATCTAATACTCAATATATAAATTTAACTATGAGAAGTCTACGGCGAGCAATGTGAACGAGACACCGGGCATTACTTTGCATAAAAGAAAAAAGAAAAAGAGAAAAAAGGAAAAGGTACACATTCATGAAAGAAAATTTGTACTTCAGTGGCACCACACTTCCTCAATCGGACCCAGAAACACAGATATGCAAAACACAATGATGGCCACAGGAAGGAAATAAAACCAGACATAAAAAAAATAAAAAATAAATAAAAAATAAAAACAAAGATGAAAATGAAATATAATAAAATGCTCCTAGATCTTTTCCTGAAAATCCCCATATAATTCTCATCAATCAAGGGATGAAAAAAAAAAAATGTATTTTCTGAATTTGGAAATTTAATGCAATTCTTGTGAAAGTGAATATGAAGTGAAAATGTAGGGGGTGGGGGGGTGGGGGGATGGTTAAGACATCATAACATCAGAACTAAAATATAACCATATACACATTAGTCTTTTTTTGCTATCGTGGTAAGTATATTCGACTCTTTTAGCAAGTAAAATGATAAGTAATAGCACATCTGCTTTACAACCACCAGGCTGCGCGACTAAGGTGGCATTTAAATGCCACCATAACACATTGGGAATATTCGAAACCAAGACAAGACACAGAAATGGATACTTCCGTTTCACATCTAAATAAACCTCTCACACAAATTTTCTTCCAAGTGGAGCGACCGCAAACATAAGACCTCTTCTACTCTTTAAAAAAGTATAACCGTATCTTGTGATCCAGCCTTTTTTTTTTGAGACCTTTCGTGTACAAAATCTGAATCTATCTATGGGCAGAACAGTTTTTTTTTAAAATCACGATGATAATACGAGATAATATTGGTATTTATATACATATAAAAAAGGGGTTGTCCCAGAAAAAAAAAAGAAGTTTAGTTTAAAGTTCTCAAAACAACAGAACTGATGATGCCCTTCACTTCTAAACAATATACCTTAAAGGCAGGAGTCAACTTTGACCTGTACTACAGGAATCAAGCAAAGCAATGCAAGGCTAAATATTCTGCATTACTTGCCTCTCCAAGGAGAAACAAAAAGAGTAACTTTCAAAGCAAAATACTCAAATTTTGACAATGAATACTACTTTTTTTTTTTTTTGTATGATCATTACTTTTTCTTTACAAGAAAAAGTGTTGTTGCATGATTATTACCGTTATTGTAATCATATTCTTAATAATCATTCATTTTCAACAAAGTTGCTATATATCATTTAAGTAATTTTGAATATTTCCCTCGCAAAAGACACGCCCTGACAACATATTAACCCTTAAAGGTACTGTGACCAGGATTTGGATCCAGGCCTTGGCATGAGGTAATCCAATTACAATTTGGTATACCAACAATACATTTATAAAATATTATACAATAAATAAAAGATTACAACAGTAATAATAACCATTTCTTTTGCATACACCTATGTATATTTATCTTTTCCCAATCAGTATCTTTGTATATATATATATATGTATAAATACATACATAATTACATATGCATCCATGTATCTTTATATATATAAACAGTGTTACTAAAGATTTTGAAATTTAATAATTTCTGCCCAATGTTATAAAAACTCTGCCATGAACCCAGATAACCATAAATCATTTTTTTTTGTTAATATTTCTGTAAATATTTTGATTAGTTTAATCCTATGTAAGGTGTGTTCTTGCCCACGGACAAGAACCCTAAGCTCCAGTGCTGATGTATAATCTACGTCCACACACATATCAACCGATATGTTACCATGTCCTACAGTCCCTTCTTTTGGCTAATTCTGCAGTCAACCAGGTGCTGATATATGTACAGTTGAAACTTTCCCTTCTCCTAGGCACAGTGAAATAGCCTCTTTGGTCCTCCTTAAACGTACAGTGAACACGCACACGCGCACACACACACACACACGCATCTCACCAAATGAACAGTGTATTTATAAGGATGCATTTTCAAACAATGCACCTCTGCTGATGAACATTTCTGTGAAAGGACCCTCTTGATGCAGCTCCACGGCTTGGAGCTTCTTCAACACCAGCATTGTGTAGAACTTCTGTGCCACCTGATTGGAATAAATTTGACAAATCAATACAACTTTCCGAAACCAGTTCTCGTTAAACAGTTCCAGTAAAAATCAAATTGTGACAATTAAAACAAATTTGTGGCACATTACAAAAACACAGAACATGAAAGAATCAGGTATGTAAAGGTATAACATGAAGGGAAAAGTATTTGTGAAGCAACATTACCTGCTTTCTGTTGTTCTGGTGAACCATGTCTGAGAACAAGATGTTGTTGCTTCTTAGCCTCCTCTTGATGGAGTGGAACATGTGTCCGGCACGCTTGTTGACCACACGTTCTTCAAACTGTTCGTAAGTTTCATCATCTGCTTGTTCCTCCTATGGAAAAAAGTTACTTCATTAAATTTCAAGTATATAATACTGAGCACAGGTGATAAAGAACTGGGAACTGATACCAACCCCAAATGAGTCATTTTACATAAAAAAGTTCACTTCTCAACTGGTATTTACAACAAGATTCTGCTCTTTATATATTCACTCTATGCATTGATCAGTTCTCTTGCATTGGTAAGACATTATTTCACCTTTATGTAATCAAATATGTATGCAAGCATGCATACATGTGTATGTGTGTGTGAGTATGTGTATGTGTATGTATATGTATAAATATATATATATGTATATGTATATATATATATATATATATATATATATATGTATATATATATATATGTATATGTATATGTATATATATATATATATATATATATATATATATATATATATATATATATATATATATATTATTTATTATTTATTTATTATTATTTTTTTTTTCTCAAAGCAAAACTTTACAGGACCAGTACTGTTGGTAAATCTCCATTGGTGAATATTTTGGCATATGATGACCAAGACCAAAAATTCCCATGGATATAAGGCTGGCTTAGTGAATACCTCTATAGGTTGTGAAGAAGTTATATTCTATTCAGCAAACCTACCTTCACACACTATTGTAAGCAATAATAGTAAGAGATTTGAAGTTAGATGATCTGTTCAAATCACTTGGACTATCTAAAGCTATGTATTCAGAATATCCTCTCAATATCACTGCTTTGATGGAAGCACCTAGCCTTATAAGTAACAATTAATAAAATAACTGTGTATAAAACAACACAGCAAGTCAAACGCACCTCCTCTTCATGGGCCTCGTCCTGTCTGAATGGTGTCGTGGGGGTATTTGCCCGTTCTGAGTAATTCGATCTCGGTCCACCATCTGACAACCCCCCTGGAGTGTTGGCTGGGGGGTGGGACTCCTCGTAACCGTGATTTTCCATCGGAGGCTGATTCTGAGAGGGAAATTGAGATTAGTTACTGCAAGACTGGTAAGGTATATCATTACTCAAGTAGTATGATAGAAACTGTTAGTTAATACAGGTGAGTTTAAAAGCAAAAGAAGTTTATAAGGTATGTATGTATGTATGTATGTATGTATGTATGTATGTATGTATGTATGTATGTATGTATGTATGTATGTATGTATGTATGTATGTATGTATGTATGTATGTATGTATGTATGTATGTATATATGTATATATGTATGTATGTATGTATGTATGTATGTATGTATGTATGTATGTATGTATGTATGTATGTATGTATGTATGTGTGTGTGTGTGTGTGTGATATATATATATATATATATATATATATATATATATATATATATATATATATATATATATATAATTTTATTATATAATAATGAAAATATAATGATGGATTGAATCAAAACTAAAATCAGTTATTTGTGATCCAGTCATAATGATAAATGACAAAATCATGGCAAAAAGTTTTGAATTATATAACTAAAAATAATAATGAAAATAACAACAGTAGTGATGATAATAGTAAGAACAATAATAATAGCTTGTGTAAAACAGGTGGAAGGTGAATAACACATAAAACCATTCAAACCAGTGTACTGTCCTTTTGCATCTCAAATATCTAGTTGCAATAATAAAAATCAAAATAACTTGTTTGATGAGGAGCTCATTCACTACGAAAGTATTCACCAAATACCAAACAATTATTTCCATGAGCTGATATACCCAGACATACATGGTCCACGAGAGATACATGCCTTGGAAATGAATTGTGGAAGAATAAATATAAAAACAATATGATCAACTTCAAATGTCAAGGACTTGTTATCATCACTTTATTTTATTTATTTATTTATTTTTATTTTTTTTTCTCAAAGCAAAACTTTACAGGACCAGTACTGTTGGTATATCTCCATTGGTGAATATTTTGGCATATGATGACCAAGACCAAAAATTCCCATGGATATAAGGCTGGCTTAGTGAATACCTCTATAGGTTGTGAAGAAGTTATATTCTATTCAGCAAACCTACCTTCACACACTATTGTAAGCAATAATAGTAAGAGATTTGAAGTTAGATGATCTGTTCAAATCACTTGGACTATCTAAAGCTATGTATTCAGAATATCCTCTCAATATCACTGCTTTGATGGAAGCACCTAGCCTTATAAGTAACAATTAATAAAATAACTGTGTATAAAACAACACAGCAAGTCAAACGCACCTCCTCTTCATGGGCCTCGTCCTGTCTGAATGGTGTCGTGGGGGTATTTGCCCGTTCTGAGTAATTCGATCTCGGTCCACCATCTGACAACCCCCCTGGAGTGTTGGCTGGGGGGTGGGACTCCTCGTAACCGTGATTTTCCATCGGAGGCTGATTCTGAGAGGGAAATTGAGATTAGTTACTGCAAGACTGGTAAGGTATATCATTACTCAAATAGTAAGATAGAAACTGTTAGTTAATACAGGTGAGTTTAAAAGCAAAAGAAGTTTATAAGGTATGTATGTATGTATGTAAAAGAATGTTCTTCTGTGCTAAAACAAACAATCCAAATCAAACCTTTAAACAAACAAAAAATATAAAGCTTAAAGATCCTAAAAGACAAGAATCTATAGAGCTTAAACCTAGACAACATATTCTCTGAGTCAGCACCATAGGGCCATAAAAAGACACACTGGTTGTTCTGTGCGATTTGTTCCTACCTCGTCGAATCCCAAGTTCTCCAGCTCCATGTGCATCGGACTCTGGAAGGGTGTGGCGTATGCAGGCGTCTGGATGAAGCATTAACAGAATAAGCATAAGACACAGGGGTAAGCAAAAAGTCGTACCTGATTGAATCCTTCGCCTTCTACCGCTTTTAGCCGCAGTTAGTCGAACAGAAGAATAACAAAAAGGGACAACAGGAAAAGCAAACACAAACATAAGCCTGAATTATACCCTGTAACCATTATGAAGGCAAATGATGAAAATGTAATGCTAGAGCCTAGATTTCACCAGGGACTAAAGTTAGTAACCAAGGTTTAATCTTATATAGAAAAATATATGTAAAAATTTCATATAAAACTGCAAAGTAAGCCGTAATTTCACAAAACTTCATTGCAAATGTTATGATTATTAAAAAAAAAGTTAAGACATGTTAATCCAAAGTCTAGGCTCTTTCATCATATTTGCAACTTTTACTATAATGGTAGTAACTTACATCATACCTGACAGTGCATGTCCTTCTCCCAGGGATCTGGACGATACTATCATAATTAAAACAAAGGTGCGAACGTAAATTAACCAAAGTGAAGTGTGTTAAGATTTAGCCAGAACAGGATTGTTAATGGAAAAAATATAAAATTAAGAAAGCACCTTAACCGAAATCATACCTGGCTTTAAATCCCGACTGAACGTTCAACACTGACTTACGGAGAGACAGCACAAACACATTTTTACATAGATATAATAAAAGACATTGACCCTTCTCGGTAAATACCTGGCTTGGCACGCTCTCTGGTGGCTGTTCTGGATTGTGGAAAGGAGTGGCCGGGGCTGGGGTCTCTGGCGGAACGGCTTCCTGGATGGCAGCAGCGGCCTCGTCGGGAATGCCCGGGGTTTGTGGGTTCTCGGCAGCCTATGCGAAGGGAGACGAGAAATTGAAGATGTGCAAAGACAGGAATAATAGTATGTAATGGTGATAAGCACAGAAAAGCATAAATAATGACTTAAAACAGAGATAAGCATATTAATTCCTGATAATATACAAAAATAAATATAATAATTCATATCTTTCCACACAATTTCGTTCCTAGCTTTCTCCATTCACTCTCAAAATAACAAAGAAACATAGTATCCCCCAAAACAAATAAAAAACGGCACTCCATACCTCGTCGAGAGTAATGACATCGCCGCCAGGGGCAGGCGTTTGCGCAGTCGGGGGCTGTTCTTCCAAAGGGGCTGGGGGGGCTGGGGTCTCTGGGGCTTGTGGCGACATCATCTGGTTGTTGAGGTCCATGTTTCTCGTCGACATGCTCAGAACCTGCGGCTAGATGTGGTGAGTGGTGTGAACAGAATGGCCTCTTCTGCCCTCGAGGAAGTTTACGTTAGCAATATTGTGAGCTCAAATGAAAATCAAATGTAAAAGGCATTTCAGCAACAAAGCAAAAGGGCAGGAAAAGATAATATAAAGCATGTATATATAAGAGAATTTCTTATCTTTTAATCTATCACATCCATTTACTACAATGTTAATTATACTAGATTAAAATTACATGAACAATAAATATAAAAAGAATGTGAAAAGTCAGTTTCTAATGTCCTGGCTGATGTCATATACATCAAACCAATTCCCAACATAAAGAATGAATATTCATTGAAACCTAAAAAGCTATAGATCTATACCTATATATCTAAAGGTACCTGAAAAAAAGCAAATGCAAAAAGCCAAAGCTAAGACACAAACCTCCTCCTCCTCCTCTTCTGGTTCCGGGTGCTTTCTCTTTGGAGGTCGGCCTCTTGTTTTGGGGGCAGCTGGTGTTTCTTGCTCCTCAGCCTCACGCACCTAAGGAATGGAAAATCAGAATCTTATGTCTATGCACGACGGCCATTTACAATAACATTTCAGATCTACAATGTGTTTATAGCATAGAATAAAAGAAAAACAATTTTCAAAAATCACTCTTACCACTTCTAAGCTGAGATTCTCCAGCTCCCTGTCTCCAGCCATGCCGAAGTCCTCGTTCTGGGCGGGTTCTGACGTGAGGTGTCGCTGGTAGATACGCGCAAGGGAGCGGGCGTATATTGGGCGGCCAGGGAGGGCAAACAGCTTTTCCACACCACCAGTTTCCTTCCAGTGCATCAAGCGCTTGGTTGGTGGCGCCAGGTCCAAGGTAGTTACAATGTCTGTTGTGTCTGAGAGCTGCGCCTTCATTTCTTCGCCCGAGATATTCTTCACTTCGTCGACAATCAGCTTCCTCTTCCTTTTGGCGCGCGGCCAACCCGACTTGATAGCAGAGGCGTCCACTGGGGCAAGGGCAAAGCTCTCCTCCTCATTCTGAAGTAAAGTCGTTTGCTCGTGTCCAGCAAGCGTCTCGTCAGCCTGACTTTGAGGAGCTGCTTCCACGCCTTCGGGTGGTGGGACCTCATCCGCTTCAACCGGGTCTGGATTCTCAGGCTTGGGAGTAGATGGGCGAGAGCCTTCCTCTGAGGATGGCGGACCAACTGAGGGAGGACCTGCGAACCTGTCCAGCCCGTCGTCATCAGAGTCGTCATGTCTCTCTTCTTTGGGTTCATCAAGGCTCGGCCCGTCGTCAATGGGCGTGTCGTCGAAGAGTCCTCCTTCAAAGAGCCCGCCGGCAATGATGTCTTGCCCGAGGTTGCCCCCAAAGCCATCGTCTCTGATTGGCGCTTCGAGGTCAAGAGCGGAGGTATCTGCCCTTGCTGTGGATAATCTGGAGTCCTGCTCCTTAGACGCACTGGGTTCCTTCTCCTTGTCCAAGGGGGTGTTGTCTCCGAAGATCAGGTTGGGGTGGTCTAGAGTCTGGTCCATGGCAGATGCATCCCTCATGATATCTGGAGGTTCCTCGAAGCCCATGTCTCCAAAGCCATCATCTCCGGTCACCAAAGAGATGTTGCCATAGTCTTCCCTCATTGTGATCTCTTCAGCACGTGACTGGTTGAGAGTGAACTGCGCCTGGATGTCGACATCATTCAGCTCTGGCATGGCAGTGTCGAAGTCGTGGAACACCTCTGGGAGTGTGATGGCACTGACTGCCGCCTCCCTGATGTCCTCTGGCAAATCGACCATGCCTGGTCTGAAGGCCATTTTGATCTTGACAAAGGCTTCATTACAATCAGCCAGGAGATACTTGGCCTTTCGGGAGTAAATTCTTACCACACCCAACAGCAAGTGACCTGATGTTCTCAAGGCCATCTTTACCTAATAAACAAATAAAGTAAAATTTAAAAAAATAAATAATGACACTCATGAGCTATCAGAAGAAAATATTAAAAAATGCAGTAGTACATATTCAGCATACAGTTGAAGACAAGGGAAAACATACATATAAAGTAACAAATAAAATAGAGTATTACCTTTGGCTGCAAGATGCCATCAACGGACTTCTCAATATTGGTCTCAAAGACATGGGCTTTTGTGAGCTTTTTATCCCAATGAGCGGCCAGCCAAATTCGGGCCAAGGGGCCCTTTTTGGCCAGCACAAAATGTGCGTAAAACATGGTTGCTTATTTCTGAAATAAGAAAAATACCTATTAGGATCCACAGCAGAAACTTTAATAAAAAAAGAAGTAAATCTCCACATGGAACCTACTTTGTTCACCATATTACAAACTGGCTTGCAATATGGTGATAAAAACCTTCACACTAATAACAGTGAAATTTTAAATAGCTTTCATACACGTTTCTGGTATCTTTTTCTCATATGCAAGTTTGGACATAAATACCAAACTTGTCCATAAATGGTATTTCTTTTTACTGAATTATTTTCAGTTCCACATACCTCCAAGAATAAAGTAATTCCTCCATACTACATGACACACTAATTCATCAACAATGTGAAATTACCACAATTCCAAATCCATTCAGAAATGCCAGGCCTCTACTAAGAATGGGACTATCCTACTACATTTGCTAATTAAAATTACTGAGGGGATACATCAATTCAGAGTGAGAGAAGTTGTACGTTCAACTAACTGTAACACTAACAGTAAAAAACAAATAAACAAACACACATGAGATTATGCAAAAGTTACCATGTGGATGTTACAGTTTATCTATTTGGGTGAAATATCATATATCCATATTCCTTCAATAGCATTAACCATTTACCAGCACTTTGTCAATCTGTCAAGGAATTTTTTAGAGCTCACTTTTGATTAAACAAAAATGCTGTTAGTAAATGCTCTCCCAATATCAGCTCTGTTTGTCTTTTATTTCAATTGTATTTTAAGTTTAATGGTTATTTTCTCAAGACAGTTAAAACAATCGTTAAATACAAAAGTCCTATTGGATGACACTATACTTGAAAGTCTTTTAGTCAGATGTTCCATAAAATAATATATTTTCTTGCAGTGTTACATCAGCCAGAAGGAAACAACTTCACAGATCACTTGCTGGTTCAATCATCAGTATTCATGGAAGTTTATTAGTCTATGTAAATATAACATGGCTAGACACCCAATTAATACAGTGCCGAGTGGGGTGAAGTAATAATAGATCCGCCTCTTCTCATAAAACCACAAGATGCCGGCAAGTTATATTCAAACTGGGCATGGTGAAATGTAACCCAACTTGATTAGAATTTCATATGGATATAAAAATAAAGAAGCAGAAGAAAAAAAGATCTTTTAGGTCAACGACAAGAAAAGAATTTCTGTGCACTAACCATTCAACCTGGTGCATTTGGTATTTCTGAAATATGTACATTACTAAGAGTGTTAACATAAAGGATACCTATCAAAAGCTCAGAATTTTGAATTTTGTGTTTATTATAATGGTTAGTCCAGAAAAAAATAGAATTTCTTACTTTACATGACTTGCCCTTGAATGCTTAATAATACAAATTACACAATTTTGCAATGATAGTAGCTATTATAACATATATTTTAGTAGTATCTTTATTTTATTATCATCAATTGTGAGCAGGATGCCATGAGAGAATACCTATCTCTTCTAAACTATTATATGCCCTGATTTTTCATATTTTACTAGCATGCCTCTCCAATTTCTTGTGACCAGATTGCAGAATATGATACATTAGATCAAGCTTTGATATCAAAGACTTATTTTTTTCAGATTTCAGATGGGGATGTCAAAAGCATCAACAGGTTGTTGCAATGGATAAAATATTCACTCTGCATTTAATACCTTGGAATACCTTATGAGTATAATAAGAATAAATAACTGATAACTAGTGGTAGCAGTAGCAATAATAGTAATAATAGTAGTAGTAATAACAATAACAATAACAATAATAATAATAATAATAATAATAACAACAACATACACAGAAGGAAAAATGGGGAAAAAGTTGAAGCTGCTTGATACTGTAAGCATTTTCTCTCTAGATATACCAAGACAAGTTTATCACATCCACTTCAGCTGTCATCCTATATACACACCAAGCATACAATACCATACTGCTACATTGGATTAAACCAATGTTGTCGGGAAAATGCTGTTTTGTAAAATGTCTCTGCACATAGATGGCTCTGCTAGTGCTTAGCCACAAAGGAGTCAATTAATAGACCTTGTGACGTTACCTTGAATTTGTGTGTGTGTGTGGGGGGGGGGGGGGGGATTTCTTTACTAATGCTATCAATATCAATGGAAAACATAAAATATTTTTAGGAATCAAGGAAAAGTGTAAAGAGGTGAGACAGTAGCAGTCATAATGGGCTCATTGGTGACTCAGTACAAGTGCATCCATCTATGTATAAAAACAATTAATAAAGTAAACCCAAAGTGGGATGGCATATACGCACAGGTCATGCCCGTAGGATTAGGGTTAAAAGAAGAAAAAAGAATAACATTGTCATGACTTTACAACAACCAGCATAACATACATGATAATCAAGCTCGTTTGTGGATATAAATACTGAGAACACAGTGCCACCAACTCCTGACATCTTTCACAAGGAGCATGTGCCTCTATTCATGACATCTAATATTGTGACACCATAGATTACTCAAGATGTGCACATACACAAAAATGATATACATTATATCTACTGTTTATATATGAAAAAAAAAAGAAAAAATGCACACACACACAAATATGCCTATC